TTTGGGAATGCTCCCGCATCCATGTATCACCTCGGGCTGGCAAGAGACACGGGACGCGAGGTTGCAGGCCGCCAAGAAGTAGTCGATGGTGAACACTCCGTTGGAGGCGACGCACGTAGAGGCCGACGGGCCGACGGCTGGAGGAAGAGTGCCTGCCAAGGAACCATCCCAGTCGCCAATGTTGATGCCCTGGCCGTCGGCACTCCAGTCGCCCCCGATTATCCAGTCGAGGCCGCGTGCGTTCCACGCCGCCGCGCGCTTCGCAAGCACCCATGAGATCAGCTGCCACAGCATGACGTGGAAAGGCGACATGATCCCCATGGGGGGGGCATCGTGGCCATCACGTTGGTAGGCACGAGCACGCAGACGCCACTGGAGCACGACGCCGCGGACGTTCCTCCCGTCTCCTCGGCAGGAACCCAGAGGCCGTGCCAACCTGCATCGCGCGCAACATATTTGAACGGCCCCAAGCCGCTGGTCGACCACCCGCGTCTCTTGGGCCATCGCCACCTCGTCGAGTAAGTGCGGCAGGAAATTGAGAAGTGGCCCGTGGGGGCCAGGGTTGACCGCGACCAGCTTGGCCGCCACCTGACAGCGCGCGTCGCCAGCATCAGGCGTGGCCGTGCTGGGGCCCTGCACAAAAGGATCGCGACCCTCTGGCATGCTTGCGTCGCTGCCGTCAGCTCGGTATCGGGGTAGCGCTTTCATCCAGTTGCGGAGCAAGCCCGCGGACTGGTCAGCCACAGAATTTGGACAAATTCTGTGGCTGACCAGTCGGGGGCTCGCTGGCCCACCGCTGTCGGGGGCTCCAGCAGAACCCGCCTCGAACAGGGTGATTGGCACCAGAACAGCGCCGAGGTCCATCCACGCGGGCGCGCCGCACACGATGAAGACGCGTGGACTGGAGCACAAGTTGACGGCGACGGACTGGAGCAGCAGCGGCCACTGGCAGGAGACACACTGTGCTCTTCGCCCAGCGGAGGCGAACCCATGCAGCCAGGACACGACCAAGGAGCAACGCGTGCAAAATTACGCGCTGTCCTCTGGGCGCCCCTCGTTAACCCTGACATTCCGTACATGGTACTTCCTGCCAGGAAGGCCCCAGCTGACAGCCTGTGCATGATGCGTGCTGTCAGTGCACGGGAGGCCACAGCTGACATTCCGTCCATGGGACTTCCTGTCAGTTCGATGGCCGCGCAGCCTGTCGCAACAGGCTGAAGCATGGCGCTCACATCGAGTGGTCTGCGCGTGGCACGTGCCATTCGTGTAGCCGCGCTGGCAGGCGCTGCCCTCATAAGGGGCCGATCGAGCCTTTATGTTTCCGCTTGCGCGCCGTGGCCGCATGCGTGCAGGAGTCGAGAACACGCTTGTACGCCACCTGCATGTCCGCGTCGGTGGCGTCGTCAGGCTTCGTGCGTCCTGCCGCCTCCAACGCCTCCCGCAGCTCGGTGGACTCCATGAGGTTGATGTCGATCTCCATGTCGTCCATGGCAGCTTCCTCAGCGAGGGCCTGCACCTGGCCCGCGAGGAGAACGGCGGTGGACGCAACTCCTCCTCCTCCTTCTTCCCCAGCAGGGGTCGCAGGAAGAGGGGCAGCAGAGGGCGCCTGTGCCGCTGGCGGCTTCGCCTGGGGAACCTCATGGAGCCTCCCGAAGACTTTGGCCGCCGTCTCCAGCTCCGCCTGAAGGCTGGGGTCCACGCCGGGCCCCACGGCCAACTCGCCAAGCTGCTGGGCGTTGACAGCGGATTTCGGCAGCAGCTCATAGAGCGCGCGCTTGCCAGCGGTGGGCGGAGGGGCTCGGTCGGCGCCCAAGCGCTGAACCTCCTCCTCCAGCCGCAAAACTTCGGCATCTGCCTCGGCCAAGGAGACCTGGAGCACCGTCTGCTTGGCAACCAGCGCGTCGATGACCAGCTGCTTCTTAGCGTGCTCCTCGCGAAGGCGCTTGGCCTTGGCACGGGAGTTCCGCAGCCTCGTGGTGAGGGAGGTGACCTGATCCTCCAAGGGGCGCTCGGCGTCGAGTTCCTTGCCCACGCGCTCCTTCTCTTCGGTGAGGGACTTGACTTGCGCCAGGTCCGAGGCCACGGAAAATCCATCATAGACCTTAAGGAGCTCATTGATCTTCTTGATGCGGTCACGCTTGACCTGCTTCTCCGACGGGTCAGCCGTGCCTCCGGTGTCACCAGTGGGAGCCCCATGGGGGTACCCACTGTCCAATCCGACGCCCGCCCCAGCAGCAGAAGCACTCCCCCCAGCAGCTGCAGCAGCCCAAGGAGGAGGCGACTTGGCGACCGTGAGCTTCTTGACCATGGCCTGGTGAGCCCGTGGACTTGGTCGCAAGGCTCCCTTTTGGCGTTTTGGGACCACCGTAGCAGACTCCTTTATGCAGGTTGCATTTGGAGTACTGCTCGAAGTCGCCACGGTTGATCCACGGCGTTCCGTCCCTCGTGACGCAATCGTTGCAGCGCCAGGGGTCAGCAGCGAGGCGGCGCGACATGGCGGCGCCGTGGCGGATGTAAGGCCAGCCAGGCCGCAGTAACCGTTTATACTCCAGGAGCCCTGGGGACGCCACCCAGGAAACCCAGACGCCAAAACTTGGCTCGCAGGAGAGAAAGGGCCCTTCCCAATATTTCTACCCCTGCAGACCCGACTCGGGCCAAGGAAGAGGAGGGGGAGGAGGAGGATGAGGGGGAGGAGGAGGAGGAAGAGGAGGGGGAGGAGGAGGAGGAGGAGGAGGAGGAGGAGGAGGAGGAGGAGGAGGAGGGGAGGAGGCATGCAAGTATGGATTTTGCGTGCGAAAAACCCGCCGACCAAAACTGAAGCTGTGCACACGTGAAAACGGCTGCCCCGCGCGCGCGCGCCGGGGCGCATGCCGGGCCCCCGTCCCCTCCGCGCACGCGGCTTCGCGCTCGACCCGCGCGTACGCTTGTGGAGGCCATGACAATGGACACTTTAACAATCCGATCATTGAATGAAACATGTGTTCAACATGTGTAAGGCCTGTTCTAAAGTGTTTCGAACATGTTTTTGCTGTACATAGTTGAAGCATGTTTGAACCATAGTTTGGGCATCCTGAACATTGTTTGGCAGCATGCTTCCTCTCCATTGATCGACTTCCACAAGCGTACGCGCCATGCGCATGTCCCCCCCATCCGCGCATTTTTTCGTAGAGAATGCGATGGGGGACCCGTCGTGGCGAGAAGCGCAGGTCAACGCATGCCAAACGCATGCGCGCCAAAACGCATTCTGGACCCCCCTTTCCGCACACGCATTATGAGGCGGAATGAACTCCGACGACTAGAAGCTGGGTCTCCCCCTCCGGCCGTGGACACGCGACAGAAACGCGCCCCGCGCGCACGCGCCAATCGCGTGTTGGGTTCCCCCCTCCGCTCACGCATTTTCACGTGTAAAGAATCCGCCTACTAGAAGCTGCACCCCCCTCCCTGGGAGGGCCGTGCCCCGCGCGCACGCGCCACGCGCATGTTGGGTCCCCCCCTTCCGCGCACGGGTCTGTCACATCTTAAGAAATCAGCGACTAGGAGGCTAGGTCCCCCCCCAAAGGGCCCGTGGACACGTGGAAACATTGTGGCGTCGGCGGCGCAGAGCAACTGCGCTGGCGGAGAGCCAACTAAACAGGGGCATCGTTGCAGCGAAGTGTGCCACCGTGCAGGAGGGGAAGGACGGAGGAGCCGACCGAAAAAGGGGACGGGGGGGGGGGAGCGGGGCCGCTGGGACGGGTCACGCTCGGAGCGCGTGGCGCGGGCGGCCCCTCGGGCGGGCCGGCGGCGGCGGCTGCACCCGGGGGCCAGCGGGGACACGTGAAAGCACGGGCCCCGCGCGCACGCGCCAGATGCATGCTGGGCCCCCGCCCCCTCCCGCCACCCGTCTGGCACGGAGGAGGAGGAGGAGGAGGAGGAGGAGGAGGAGGGGGAGGAGGTGGAGGATGAGGAGGGGAAGGAGGAGGAGGAGGAGGAGGACGACGACGAGGAGGACGAGGAGGAGGAGGAGGAGGAGGAGGAGGAGGAGGAGGAGGAGGAGGAGGAGAGGAGGGGGGGAGGAGGAGGAGGAGGAGGAGGAGGAGGAGGAGGAGGAGGACGAGGCCCGCCAACACAAAAGAGAACCCTGGGCCAGAGCCCCTGCCAGGCCTGCCAGGGAAACATCTGCTCTCGAACCTCGACCCTCGAGCCCCGGCCTCGAACCTCGATCCTGGAGCCCCGATCCTCGACCCTCGAGCCCCGATCCTCGACCCTCGAGCCCCGATCCTCGACCCTCGAGCCCCGATCCTCGAACCTCGAGCCCCGATCCTCGACCCTCGAACCTCGAGCCCCGATCCTCGAGCCCCGATCCTCGAGCCCCGATCCTCGAGCCTCTGCGGCGACGGAGCACAGCACTCGGCTCCCTCGATCCTCGACCTTCGCTGCTCAACCCTCCTAGAGCTCCAGAGGAACACACACAAAAACATCACACCCTCGATCCTCGACCCTCGCTGCTCAACCCTCCTAGAGCTCTGGAGGAGCACAAAGCATCACACCCTCGATCCTCGACCTTCGCTGCTCAGACCTCCAGAGCAGCACAGAACTGTATAAACATAATATTTCGGAGGTCCGCGCGGATTTCTTGGATCTGCGCTGGACCCCCTCCCTGGCGCACGGAGCGCACCGGGGGCGGCGCTGGAGGCGCCGCCAGGGGGGCCCAGCGCCGATCCCAGAGATCCGCGCGGAGCCCCGAACGACAATGTTTATGCAATTTTTCCTCTTCGAACCTCGGCCCTCGGCCCTCGGCCCTCGGCCCTCGAACCTCGACCCTCGAGCCCCGACCTCGAACCTCGATCCTCGAACCTCGATCCTCGATTCACGAACCTCGATCCTCGACCCTCGACCCTCGACCCTCGGCCCTCGATCCTCGATCTTCGACGACGGCGGCGGACGACATGACGACGAGGCCGGACGGCGGTGGCGGCCGCGAGGACGATGGCGGCGGCGGCGTCGGCGACCACGCTCGC